TGTTCACGTCAGTGATTGTTTTGTGATAAACAAAATATAGTTCACCTTGTCGCTTATATTTATATGCTTACAAGTAATGAAGAAATATCTAAAATTGAGAAAACATAACTTTAAAAACAAGTTTCTCTAGTCCCTGACGAACAAGCCATTGTTTGACAAACGCCTCGTCTATCCCGATGAACTCATCCATGGCACTTTCCAAAACACATGTATCGAATGCCCGGGGATCGCCCCTGGGTATGCAAATGTCCAGCCCCCGGGCCACGATAAAATTGCGGATGCCCCACCCCTGGGACTGACAACTTGAGCAAATGCCCCACGGTTGCCCGGGGGGGATGGGCAATGCTGGAATTGACTGATGCATTTATCCCAGATCATGGTTTGAAAGGCATCAATTGTTGCTGAAGAGACTGCACACTTTGTACTAGGCTGTCGAAAGCCCTTTGTGAACCAACTGATCTCTCTTTTAAATTCAAGTGGCTATTCCTTTTGGTGAATTTCTCTGGAAGAATTCATTTCCATATAAACAATGAAGTAACTCGATATTATTTAAGGGTATCAAACCGGTTGATCTTATTCATACAAGTTTCCCACTAAAAGACATAAAAGCTAAAATCAGGCAGGTGACAAATACGGGTAACACTGGGTACAACTCTCTCCAAATTAGTGTCCACTTCATTTTCAGCTTGGGTGATGCAGTCTCTAATGGCATGTCCAAGAAAATCGGGGTATCTTAAGGTGTCTTATATCATTTCTCAACTGATAGGATATTGGTACCTGACAGAATTTTGAATGATGCCAGGAACTGTGGTGAAATATTTTTACCTGTATTTTAGTTTCACTTTGATCATTTACCGAGTTGGTAGTTATGTTGTGTTTTTGCAGAAAATACCAATACTTCGTTTGACAACATAATTTTCACATTCTAGACATACAAAGATTTTTAGTGACTCTGTCCCAAAAGCTGTGAATAAATTTCCAATTCTGCTTTAATGAAGTTCTTTATTTGAGGGTGGATTGGTCATGGAATTCCTGCACTGAAGTGCTTGGAGACCAAATGCCTTCAGCCTTTACCTGAGCACACTGCACCCAGTACTAAAGCTTCAGTTGCAATGTATCAATGTGAAGGTGACACACTTACCCAAGACTTTGTTGTTGGAGAAGACCTGTTAGAATCCAGTCCTACCTTGCAAGAAATTGTATTTCTAGGATTTTCTCACACGCTGTAAATGATAATCCAAAGCCATTTAAGGCAGGTCTCAAAAGTTTTATCAGAATTACTAATAGAATACATGACCTAC